TAACTCTCTCCGTTTCTAAGTTTTGTAGTTCATACTGTAGTACTTCACAATCTTGCATCCGGAGTTGGATTTCTTGGAATAAGTCAGTTTTCATCTGAGGAAAATTATGTAAAACTATATTTATTTGACTGAAAATAATGCATGAAAAAACAAAATGTTAAACATGACCCCTTTACACCAGTATGTACCTTGTTTCAAATTGCTGGTACTATTAATTTTTTTTCATGGGCAGAAAATTTGGTGGTGAGATAATTTAAAAGCATTTTTATGTTTCTTGAAAGTGAAACATTGGCATTTTCATTATAACACAATTTTGAGAATTTCTGTAATTAGCGTGAAGACAAAAACAGTATTCATATCATTATATTTTTGTCTGTATTGATAGATCTAATCATCATTTGGGGGACATGTTTAACTCGTTACCAGTCATATGAATTAACTTGGTTATGATTCTGACATGTTTATGAGGTTGATAGATCTTCTAATTGAAAACCAAATAATGAAGCTACTTAAGTACTGATTGGATCATAAATTATGGGGTTATTTATAATAATTAATTTCTTTCATCACACTAATGAAATTTTGAGGGAATTACAATGCTTTATAATAAATTTGACACAGGAGATTTGTAAGCCGTACAATTAAAAAATGCAATGACTGATCTTAATGAGTAAAGTCGTAGTAAGCATGTTGTCTACAGTACCAGTTAACATTATTGATCAAGTGCAATAAACTTCCTTGTTTGCTATCATCCCGTTTTAATCAATTAGGTTAAAATCTGATGTAGGTATAGACTCCATTTTTTTTTTTTATATTTAATTTTTTGTATATTTTTCCATTGTTATTTTGGTTCATACCTATTTTTTGTTTTACTTGCTGTTATTAGTTTTTTTATTAGTTTATATCATACCTGGTTGCTGTAGTCACGGTAACTGGAATAACAAACTTAATAACAGCAAGTAAAACCAAAACAGATATTCATAAAAAAACAAAATAACAATAAAAACAATTTACTAGCCTGTTAATATTCTACTCAATCATGGATCACTGTATGTAAACTGAGAACAGACTTCTCAAGGTAGAGTGACCAAGTGAGTATTGGTCACCAAATCCGGGAGAACAAACGCACTGGAGAGGAGCATTTGTAGCCAAGGTGTTTATTGCTCAACTGCTAGGCCTGGAGTCTAAATACTCACGAGATGTTCCATGACAATGTATCAATATCATTATGCAAATAAGTAAATTAAATAGCCTCAAATCATTACACTGTACCACTGTTATTAAAGTGAATTTTGTTTAACAATTTGATACTGTGATACATAGAGTATTAAAGGACATGTCAGCCATCCTCGGTATGAAATTTGTTTTACATTGTTTGTACTCTTTTTTATTAGCTTCGCTGTCGACTTTGTCGAGCGGAGCTTATCATATGAGTGATTGTCCGCCGTCGTCCGTGTCAATGTTTTACTTTTTCGACTTCTTCTTGAAAACTACAAGCCTGAATGCTTTGATACTTGGTGTATATGTACCTTGGGTAGACCTCTCTCAG